ATTTGAGGTAGTGAGGGCTTAAGAGTTTTTCCATGAAAGTAGCGCGGCGTTTTTCCTGTCTATTGTGAAAAAAAGTATACATTTCGGTGGGTTCGGGGGAGTAAGGAAGTTTTAAGTGAGTCTGTAAATATGATGAATTTACATTTGTGAGTTTGAAGGTCCGGGAAAAATTAGTGAGGAATCCACTCTTATTGAGATTTTCCACGAAAGTAGTTTCTGGGGAAATTTCCAGTTTACAGTTGTCTCCATTACAGTGCCAATGTGATGAATTTAAAGTTGTGAGTTTGAAGGTCCGGGAAAAATTAGGTGAGGGCTCCGATTTCATTGAGATTTTACACGAAAATAGTTTCATATCTTTGCTATAAGCCGGGGAAATTTTCAGTTTACAGTTGCCTCCATTACAGAGTTATGATTTTTTTGAAGTGAGTCTGCAAATGTGATGAATTTAAAGTTGTGAGTTTGAAAGTCTGGATAAAATTACTGAGTGCTCCGATTTCATTGAGAATTTACACGAAAATTGTTTCATATATTTGCTACAAGCTGGGGAAATTTCCATTTTACAGATAGCTCCGTTGCAGAGTTCTAAATTTTTCAAAGTTAGTCTGCAAATGTGAAGAATTTGATACGTAGATTCTTTGCAAAGATCAATGGGAGCTCAGATTTGATTAAATTTCACGATAGCAGCCTGACTATTGCTAAACGCGATGCAAATTTGAATTCAAAACCTCACTCGATTTGATTGTTGTGAATTTTTTTGAGTGAGTGCAAATGTGAGGAATTTCCAAAATTTCAAAGATCAGTGAGGGCTCAAATTTAATTCGGTTTCTCCACGAATGCAGCCAAATATTTTTTTCTAAAACCGCTGAAAATTTCAATTAGACGCGTCACCTCATTGCAGAGTTGGGAATTTTTCCAAGTGATTTTGTGTTTCTGTGATGTGAGCGGTTTTACATAAATGCAGTTTTCTCTAGATTGCAGCTCGAATCTTCACTTGGCTGAAAAGGCGGAAATTTTTTCTTGTTCGGAAGTTAATTGCTAATTCGAAGCAATAATTTGCGTTATTTCAATCACTGAAGGTAAAATTGCTTTTGGAAGGCGCTCGAGGGGCATGGATCAGTTTCAGTGGAAAAAGCGGCTCGTTAAATTCAAATCAGCTACTAATTAGCCGAAGATTCTGCCACGGTGCTGCATAAATTAGCTCGAAAGCAATTTGGATTTTTCTAATAAGATTTCAAATTTCAAATCGAGTTACAGTTATGTTAGCCAGCGGTCAACGGCTGGCCACGGCAATTTACCTTTTGCTCCCACAGTTAATAAATGCCTTTCGATAATTTTTAAGTATCATCATTACAATCGCCTGCATGGCCAGTTCTATACGGTGAATACCAAATTCCCAAGTGCCGTTATCATTTGCGATTTCTTCACTTTTTAACCGAGTGAATCTTTAGTGAAAAATTGGGTTTTCCTGAAGAATCGCGAATAAAATCAGCCGATTGCCACCCAAAATCCATTATTGCTTGTTGATAGCAATAAACATTAAAAATGAATCCTCGTGACTAACTGGAAGTTTGTCCGTCTAAATTGGGATTTCCTTTGCCTCATGATCAATTCGATGGAATTTTTTATTATTGGCACGTTGCAATCGGTGCGCCGAAGGAATACTTAACAATGTTGGGAAGGTCGTTGATAGCAGCAGAATGCATTGTTACTCAGCCGAAGCAAAAAAATGCAAAACTTCGATAAACTCACTGCCTTGTGGTGTATGGAAAGTCTTCGCTTCACGACTAATTATTAGACTAAAACCGATTACTGATTGCCAAAGAAGATCGTGTATGCATATTTGTTGCAACTTACTTACTGCTTTGGACATTCTGGCACGGTTCAGTGTGTTTTAAACTTGCCCTGATTACTGTTTCTGCCCATTTAACTAAGTCCTTTAATCGCCGCCAGTGATAAACCAGCTGCAAGGAAACGGAAGTTGATAAATATGCTGTAATGTTATTTTAGCCCGGTCCAGTGAATTTTCGATGGCTTTTTAAACTCTTTTCTTTGCTGTAAAGTTGCCTTGTCTGGTTTCATGCACAATAAATGCCCGAAACATTCGTTGTTAGACTAATTGACCTCAATTTGCACTTTTACCACTTTTACTAACGTTGAAGAAATCCGTTCAGTTTCCTTTTTACATCTGGTTTGGCCAGGAAAAGTCCGACGCATTGTACAGGTAGGTTTCGACCCCAAACCTGTCAGTGTTGCAGTAGCAATTTTCCACTCCAATTAACTAATTAATCCACTTAATTGTTTGTTTTTCCATCTGTATTCAGGCGGGATTGGCCACTATATCACTTAATTTTCTATTGACACGCCAATTAAATTAAATTCAGTGCGGCCAATTTAATTAGAAAATTGTCGCCCAAAACGGAAATCGGCCCACAGACAATTCGTTTCATTTTTTTTGCTGCTGCAAATTTGCGCTTTAATTAGAAATGTTCAACTCGCCATAACTCGCTCGTTTAATCATTAACAAATTTTGTTATCCCTCATTTTATAGACCTTTCTATTCGGTAAACAATTAAAAAATTCCGAATTGCTGGCTTCCTTAGGGATTTTTGAGGCAATTTTCAAGTTTTATGTTTAAAAGTTTATGCGGGTGTTTTTAGTGGAGTGGACATTGTATAAACTCCGAACGTTTCGAATTGTTGGCATCATCAGGGAGTTTTTAGTTTTGACTCAAATTTCCATTTGAGATTTGACTCCATTGCGGAGTTTTGCATTGTTTAAAGTGGGTCTCCAAATGTGATTAATTTAAAGTTGTGAGTTTGAAGGTCCGGGAAAAATTAGTGAGGCCTCCGAATTCATTGACATTTTGCACGAAAATAGTTTCATACTATTGCTTCAACCTGGGGAAATTTCCAGTTTACAGTTGCTTCCATTACAGAGTTATGATTATTTTTAAGTGAGTCTGCAAATGCGATAAATTTAAAGTTTTGAGTTTGAAGGTCCGGGAAAACTTAGTGAGGGCTCCAATTTTATTGACATTTTCCACGAAAGTAGTCTCATATTATTGCTACAAGCTGGGGAAATCTTCAGTTTACAGTTACCTCTATTACAGTTATGATTTTTTTGAAGTGAGTCTGCAAATGTGATGAATTTAAAGTTGTGAGTTTGAAACTCCGGGAAAAATTAGTGAGGACTCCGCTTTCATTGAGATTTTGCACGACAGTAGTTTCATATTTTTGCTACAATCTGGGGAAATTTCCGGTTTACAGTTACCTCTATTACAGAGTTATGATTTTTTTGAAGTGAATCTGCAAATGTGATGAATTTAAAGTTGCGAGTTTGAAGATCTGGGAGAAATTAGTTAGTGATCCGATTTCATTGACATTTTGCACGAAAGTAGTGTAGGCTCATATTCTTGCTACCAGCTGGTAAAATTTGCAGTTTACAGTTGCCTCCATTACGGAGTTATGAATTTTTTAAAGTGAGTCTGCAAATGCGATGAATTCAAAGTTTTGAGTTTGAAGGTCCGGGAAAACTTAGTGAGGGCTCCAATTTCATTGACATTTTCCACGAAAGTAGTCTCATATTATTGCTACAAGCTGGGGAAATTTCCTGTTTACAGCTGCCTCCATTACAGAGTTATGATTTTTTTTTCAAGTGAGTGCAAATGTATGAATTTAAAGTTGTGGGTTTGAAGGTCCGGGACAAATTAGTGAGATTTTTCACGAAAGTAGTTTCATATTCTTCCGGTAAACAATTGAAAAATTTCGATTTCGAATTCCTCAGGTATTCTTGAATCAATTTTCAAGTTTGAGCAAAAGTTTATGCGGACGTTTCTACAAGGGTGCATTCGATAATTCATGCAGTTTAAAGCGAGGCAACTGGAGATCTGAAACTGGTGAAAGATAGTGGACATTGTATAAACTCCGAAAGTTTCAAATTGTTGGCGTCATAAGGGGTTTTTACTTTTGAGTCAAATTTCATGTACTTAAACTTTTCTACTAGCGTTCAGTCAATAATGAATGGCACCGAAACCCACACAGATAGAGAACTGCGATTTTTGCTCTGGTTAGACCAAAGTCTACTGCCTTAACTGGGGAAAGTTTCGAACTGTAACCATCCCCAGGCATTTTACGAAAATTTGTCAAATTCCAGCCATTCTTGCCACAGCAAGCGATTTCTGCAATGCCCTTGATTTGAACAATTAATACGACTTAGGGAGATTTGCAATTGTGCGTTGAATAGAGTACGGCTTCCTCTATGAAACGTGAAAGTTTCATCTGAAAGTCAGCATCAGGGAATTTACGGACGATTTTGTTTGGGCGGAAAAGCCAATCAACTTCGCACAAAGAAAATCTTGAGATCCTCCGAACGAATTGCCAAACAAATCAAATAGTTCCTTTTAATGTCAAAGATATTGAAATAATCGCCTTGAGCAATGGGCTTGATGGAAGCGCACACAGTTCCGTGACATTTACTTACCATTAAGATTGGTACAGCGGTCTTGGCAAATGCACCTAATTGATAATTGCCGCTAAAACTTCTATTGTTTTTTTGATAAAAACTTGAGTAAACATTGGGGTGTTTGCTGGCGGCACGTTTCATATGTATATGGAACAAACCCAAGGTAGCGCCATATCTTTATCACCTTGAAATTCTTTGGGTATTCAGTGCGAATTCTTCGAAAATTTTCTTTGGAAATTGACCTGATTTCGGTGGAATTTCCGCCAAAAAATTCCGGTTATTTATGCAAAGTGAACGGTGCAATTTGGTTCCAAAAGGGATTGCGACAAACAAACTCTCTAAAGTCGGCGATTTGGGGCAGTTTTGGGTCTTTTATGGGTGATTTCAAAGGCATCAGCGAGGTGCTAATTGAATCGAAGCAACGCGATAAACACCGATCAAACAGAGAGTTGCGATGCCATTTTTTTAGGATAAATGCTCTAATGTGTGATAATCATTCAGGTTTCGAATGCATATGCAGGCAAGGCTTTCCAGCTTACCAGCTTATTGTTGTTTTCGATGCAAAATCACTCAAAACCAGCGCTAAATTCCCGTCTCTTTGCTGAATCACACCCGCCGTCCAGCCGATTATGACTGTTTTTTTGTTATTCACTGAGAAACGGACTTTTTAAGGACGTCGAACTCACATCGGGACGCTCGGGCTCACTGCCTCGACAAAACAGGACGCCAGCCCGAAATAACACTTCCACCAAAACCAGTCCAGCAGTCGATTCGACCGAGAACTCCCCCTTGAACAGAGCCGTACTCTGAACTTCAACTAAAGCGTATTTCTGGCTTCTACCAGCCAAAGTCGAAAAAAAACAGAAATTCAAATTACGTATCGCTCTTTTAATCAATCAGTGTGCGTTTCAATACAAAAAACCTTAACCACTATATACAGGGCTTGAAAAATTGGAAGTATGCGACTAAAGGCCGATGAGCGGCCCTTTGTCTATACTATAAAGAAAAAATAAATGCTTTCTTCCGAACAGTCTCAATTTCATGCGTCTCACATCTTATTGTCCGTTGCGTCCGAGAACTCCACTAGTGAGTGAGGGGGCAACATTGAGTGATAGCGCTTGAAAGCCGTTTGTTCAGCTGCTGCCTAACCTACATTACATTTACACATCGATTAGCGTCTGTTGATGTAGTTGCAGGATGCGATGCGATATCATTAAACTAACTAAACCGATCGCTTTATCACAAAAGAACCCTAAAGAATCATTCTCGATGACTAGAGCTGTCTGGTTTTGCGCCCCAAGTCTGACGCCAGTCTCTATACGCTCCCAAGTTACTCGGCCTGGAGCCGCTTGGTGAATTCTTCCTGCTGTCGCTCTTTCCACTCCTTCTTCGGCTTGGAGCGCTTTAATTGACCGTCCCTAGAAACAGGAGAGTTAGAAGGGATTGATATGCGTCCCTTTGAGGAAAAGCGATCGCGTGTTTGGGACTTTGAACAATATACATTTTAGCGACAGACAGGCTAGTCAAGTGTATATACTGGGAAAGTTTCAAATTGCTGGCATCAACAGAGATTTTTCTAGAATTTTTCAATTTTGGGCCACATTTCATGCGGACATTTCGACAAGGGTTGATTCAATAATTCATTATTGCCATCATTACCGATTTTTTATTGATTCACTGATCACTGATTTTTTTAAGGACATTTTCTATCTTGAGCCCCTTTAGTCAGAAAGACTGATTACAAGGTCCTAATTCGAAAATTAATTGCGTTAAAATCGACATTAGAAATTTTTCAGGTATGAAAAATTATTTACGTATTTTTTTTCATTTTCAAAAGGCACACTTTTGTAGGCCTGGGTAACACTGTGTTTAGTTGCGCTTTTGAGTTGGTGAGTTTTAACACATCACGCCTCATTGCACCGCACCTCGAATTACGCTGCTGCCGTATTAAACACCTTTTCCTCTTTCTTTCCAGGTGGCACTCAGCACACAGCTTTCGGTAAGTTTAGACCCATGGTCATCAACTGACTCGTAGGGTGGATTTGGTATTGATTAAGCTATTGGTTCTTTCGTGGTTAATTTTTAAACTTTGGGATTATTTTGGGCTGTTTCGTATTTTTATATCAAGCTCATCTGAAGCGTTTCGCTAAACAACTGCTTCAGATATGCAAATTTGGGTTCCAGTATTCAATACAAGACGCATCAGCTTACCGATACTGTGAATTTGGTTCACAGTACCAAGCCATTGATTCCTTCACAATAAATTGATTTGATTTTGAAAAACTCAATTCGAACTCTGTCCCGCACTAGTTAATTGCGAACATTTTGTTAACGGTAAGTGAAGTTCGAAACTTTGACGGCATTTAGAGCGCACTCCTCTTCACTGAACGAGTATTTTTCGTTATAACGCTTATAAAACCAAATAGTATTCCCGCTCTACTCATGCGATTCATTGAAGAATCCTCAGCTGAAAACAATGGCGCTTAACCAGGCTCAATTCCAAGCCCCAAAACCGAACGCCTTGATTCAGAAAAGTTCGACAAATCGGCCCTTAAAACCTACCAAACTAAATCGACCAACCCGCCCTGCTTCGCAATGGCACTTTTCACCCGATTCGCAAAGTCTATGGAGCTTTCGTCCTCCTTCTGATGCATCGGCGGCAGGTACCACACATCGCACACGATCGCCCAACTGGTCATCATCATGTACAAGTACTGCAACATTGAGTACTTGTTTGAGTTCCAGAAAGCGTCGCCAAACCTTGAAAAAATCATAATTTCAATCGGCTGTTCAATTAATTAACCACGCAAAGACTCACCGAGGATCGTACTTGATGGCAACCGGGTAAATCACGCTGCCCACCTCGAAGCTGCCCTTCTTGAACTGCATGACTGACGTGTTGTTGATGCAGGTGCCCTCAGGAAAGATCAGAATGGGTGGGTTCTTCGGATCAGAAGTGTGCGCGATTAACCTGCAACATCAGCAATGAAAAACCCTCATCTGAAGGAACGTGAGGTGGTGGTTACCGTTGCAGGACGAACTTCTTATCGCGAGCTTCGGAACGTTCGAACCATATGTGGGGCGAAGCCCTGGCTAGCGCCCTCTGAAGCAGGCCAAGAAAGCCGCCGTGTCTCTGACCAATCTAAATAACCACGAAATATTCATTGTGGATCCTGCCATTGATCGGAGGATGTGGATTTACCAAAGAATAGCAGCCATCGCACATGAGAATTAGGACGTCAATAGGGGAAGTGTGATTGGCCACGCAGATTCCACCCTCCTTGGGCTTGTTCTCGACGTTGTGATAAGTGACTACCGAGGAGATGGCACGTGATAAGATGCCGAAGCACATGATAGAGACGTATTTGTTGACCAAGCGTCGGAAATCGCGCTGCGGAATGTAACCGACCAGCGCTGTGCAGATTGTCAGCCACAACACCTGGAAAATACCAGCGGATGAATATGTAAAATTGAACTTGCCAATCTTCATTCTTACCCCGCAGAAGCAGATGGTCACCCTCAGTGGGAACAGGAGAAAATAGCGCACGAAAAAGCCACACATCCATATAAAGGTCAGCTTCCACGAGATGAACTCATATCCCCGATTGGTTCGAATCAGCAGATTCCAGTTCTTCAGCTCTTCGGCCTCGAAGCGCGACGTCACTTGATCCTCAATGATGGCCTCCATGCCAGCCTTGGTGTAATCCAGAATGGTGTTCAATTGGAAGTTCAGAACTTTTTCCTGTAAAACCCCCATTAAGCGTCGAAGGCAAGCGATTAAAAGCTTTCCTACCTTGCCCTCCTTGAACTCGTCATCACTGAGTTTGTCCTCCATTTTCTTCTGGTCTAGCAGCGGCGAGGTTACGGCTTCAGGCAGCAATATATGCCGATCTTCTCGGCTGATGAGATTGTTTCCTCCATTGGACACGTGACCATTGCTCAGAGGATCAGCGCGAGGTTCCTTCTGAGGCGTGGTGTGAGTGCCCAGAAAGGGCGGCTCCAAGGGCGACGACTCTTCGCTGTAACCCTCGTCTTCTGATTCCGGATCGGTTTTGAGCTTCCTGCGCTCGATTTGGGCGGATTCAATGTCTTTTCTGCCATACTGAAAATATATTACTTGTTGAGTATACCACCAAAATTTCACAATTCTACAAGTCGATTGTAGAACCGGGCTGAATCCATCAGTCGTTCAGGCGAGAGTAATACAGATACAAAACTGGGATTTTAGTGACAGATTGGTGAATGCCAATTTTATATGCTGGGAAAGTTTCACATTGTTGGCTTCAACAGGTATTTTTGCAGGAGTTTTCAAACATGTGGTAAATTTCATGGAGACATTGCTTCATTTTCTGAAGTGCTCATTTAGTGGAAAGCAATCTGCCTAGTTTTAAAAATGAATAATGCATTGCTTCGAAATGCATCTACGCACATACGCGGTGAGACAAATGACAAATTTAATTATTAAATTGAGAAATATTTGGCATATAATGTGCTGATTTATTGACGATACTCATCGACCTTCGTGTGGGTAATTTGCCGTGACCTCTATTGTAGAGACGCATTTAGATTGAACAAATCATGGTTCCCCCAGCTAGGTCAACCGAATTTAGAACCCATGAACGTTGAAGTGCGGTAGATCGCAACCACGCCAAATGCAATCTATTGGCATCAACGTGAAATCGGGTTTGTTCCAGTGAAACTTTCACATTGCCAACAATTAGACGCGGTTTTTCTGATAGGAAATCGCCGAATAACTGATAAGGGATTAGGCAACTGGCCATAAAATTAAGCCAAAGTTCAACGAATGCGAGTGTTTAGCCGCTGAGCAGTGAAATTGCCAAAAGCTGTTGTTTGCAAGGAAATTTCCTGAAAACTTTGTTCAGAACAATAAATAACATTGTTCGCTGATAAATGAAAGTAATTGAATTGAAATTCGATTTATCAGCCACTCACTTTGTAACCGGGCTGATTTACAACCAGCATTGGACAAAAAACGCTATTATTAATAATTAATATGCAGGCCAAAGTACCACTTGGTCTGCTTTTGCTCATCAGCCATCAATTGATCGGCTTCCAAGGAAATTTTACGACTATGCGGGCTGAGTTTGAGGGGGCCAAAGTCCTCAAGCAATAAAAATATAATTAGTAACTATTCGGTTTCCGTTTGTGTCACACAGCGGGTACTTTGGGTCGAGGTACAAAAAATGAACCCAACAACCTGAAGCGCATTTTAAGCTGTTTCCCCACTTATAAAGCCTTGAAGATTTCACTTTTTTCCACGAGGGGAAAACAATAAACTTGTAGATATGCAAAGGTCACCTTTGCTCCAACGAGCCTCACCAGCCCCCATTCACTTGGTCAGAGCGTGAACAAAACTCTTCATTTATCACTAGTTGAAATTTGAATTTGCCAAACAATCGCTGACCTTAGATCATGAAATTTTGGCTTACTTAACGAACGAACACGAGGAAGGTAAACCATCAATAAATATGTATCATTAAGCCCCAGTTTATCATAATGAATGTCATGCAAAACAATGAATTATATTAAATTGTTGCCAGTGATTTCGGCGTTTCATTTATTTAATGGGGCGCATCTTTGAAACAAAATTAATACCCAAACGAGATAATGATGCTTGATGGGATTAAGCTCAATTGCCTCATTGTTTTAAGTGTTTTACATGTAAATTCACAGCCGTTGTAGTGGAAAAATGGCCCCTAAAATCGACAATGATCACTTGGGAGTCTAGTTGTTGTTGTTGTGTAATTAACACTCTTCATGCGCCTGATTGTCTGTCGGACTTATCGTTTTAGTACACAAAGACGCGATTAATCAGATGGATTTTCAGTCAGTGAATACTAGGGTTTGCTACTGCTCCCCAAAGAGATGGAAGTAGATTCTGAAATAAATTGATCCAAACCCAGATCAGCAGTTAAGTGCCCAACTCTAAGGGCTTCTTATCTGCGGTAAAATCTGCAGAATTAGTTAGTAAAAAGAAGCAGCATCTCCTCAAAGCCCTCTAGGGAAACTAGGAGCTTATATGGCGCTCCTTGTATTCAGTTAACGCAGCTTCAAGCTCCAAGGCTTGGAACACAAGACCAAAGGGCCCCTAAACCAAAGCCAGCTGTCTTACCTCAAAGATCATCAGCAGAACTTTCACGTAGAACCGTCGGACGCCCAGGGACTGTCCAATGGAGGCCAGGAAGATAATTGAGAGCAGCAGCATCATAAAGGGGGCGAACAGAATGGAAAGCAGGACGCTCAACACCCCAAAAGCTAAGCTAGCCATTTTTGCACCGTTTCGGGGGCCGCTTCTATTCACGACTTGTTCATTTCCGAGCGCGACAACGTTTTACGGTGATCTGTAGGCAGGACGTGCGTACTAACGCAGAAAAAACTGATATGAAATTGAAATTGGTTTGCCTGAGACAAAACTCATTTCCGCAGACAGATGATTAAGAGAAGTCACTATCAGTCGCACTTGCGCTGTCTTCCAAATGTGCGTTTCCACTTTCACCTGCCCGGTTGCCGCTTGTTCAATAACGAGCTTATTTAGTTTTCTACTGAAGCTTTTCATGCAGCTTTCAGTGCACATTTTGTTTGAATAATTGATTTATTTCTGTTGACAAGTGGAGCACGGTGCTTAATCCGTTGGCCTAGTCAGTGTCCGAACAGTTTAGCTCATGAGTATGTGATAAAGACAGCAGTAGTTTGGACGGGTGGGCTTGAACAGTATCTGACTTGAAATACACACTGCCCTTATTTAAGGGATTTGCAAAATTGCCATAAATTATGCCTTTTGGTGTAAAACCCTGTAAAGAATCCCGAGACCGAATGAAACTGAAACTGCTTTCTCCAAAAAAATCTATTCAATTGGACCTTTGCCATTTAATGCATAGTTCCTCAACCCGGCACCACTGCCTGTCAAACAGCTGCCCCTGCCATTGTTGATTGTTTATGTCCAAAAAGTTTAAAGTTAATTGTTGCTGTATTTATGGTAAATATCGCATCAACTACCTTCCCGGTGTCTAAAGCGCTGTGACCTTAACAGAGCCCCCCGAAAAACGATGTAAGTACTTTGAGGTTATACTGTTCTAAGTCGAAGTCCTACGGTTCGTTCTCGCTGAAATCCAGCTTTTGTTATGGGCCGTATCAGGAGCCCCAATTGAACAACAGACATGTATGCGAAACGGGCCCAAACCATCCTGAATTTGGAGCTGGCCAAGAGGCTCAATGACTACCTGGAAGCTAGCACTTTTATTAGATCCTATGCGGTGACAAGGCCCCAAAAGACTGAAACTCATATTCATCAGGCTGCAGTCCAGCAGCATTTCAAAGCCAAGTTTTACTGTACAGCCCCTGGGGTGGATACGAACACGTTCGAAAGAGTGTGCGAAGAAACGTTGAGCTCTTTAGCGGATTATTTCGAGGATCTTGTGGCCAGTGACGCAACGCTGGAAAAAGGAGATGTGATGTACGGGGTAAGTCGCGTTGAAGTATGGTTAGGGATGCTGAAGTTCAGAGGCTTCTAGGTGGGGGTGTTGACGATCGACTTGGGCCCCCTGGGCACTTATGTGGTGAATAGACAGTCCCCCAACAAGCAAATCTGGCTGAGCTCCCCCACTTCAGGGCCGAAACGGTTCGATTACGTAGCGAAAGAGGACTGTTGGGTGTACAGGCACGATGGGCAAACCCTGCATGGGGTGTTAAAAACGGAGTTTGAGAGCATGCTGGGTCGGAAGTTGAGTGTATCGAACTGTGCCCATAGTAGTTCAATTGCATAAATTTGTTGTGAATAAATAGAAAGCCAAATCAGTTGAAATTAGTATATTTACTGAAAAAATTCCTCAAATGCAACACTTTAAGTAGACTGAATAAAAATAATAAAAGACTTATCCGCTAAAACAGAACGCCAAAAGTGAATCAATCAAAAAATGTATGACATCACTAGAAGCTCAGCGAAACGGTAACTCTAAAACGTTCCTCCTAAGAACAAGAAATGACTTAGAATGTAACAGTTACAAAACATAGTCTATTCACATATACAACAGCAGAACTGCGAGATTTGTACTGTTGCGCCTAAATAAAAATACAACTTTACTAACTAAATCACATGACGCGTTTATCAACTAGGTATTCTAGTAGGACTCAAATCGTGCAACTCAACGACGATCAGATCGCATGTGAAAGGGCCATATTTATTCGATAGGTCCACTTTGTGCAGGCTCAAAAAACTCGAACAAGTCCTGTTCGATTGGTTTCGCAACCCATCTTCCCAGCTGCGCCTTTTGAAATGCTTCATAGAGGACTTGTCTTGTTGCCTATCCGAAAAAACTCCGCTTGGTTTTGCAAAAACGTTTCCCAGAAAGAGCTTACCACATATGTTTTGACCGATTCTTTCGCATCACCGTACGATCTCATGTTAATTTCATCGTCGTCGATGGTGGACAGTTTGTTATGCAGCCGAAAGAATTTGACGGCAATATTCTGCTTGCAGACCGCAGAAATGCCAGTGTTGGTCTTTCCGGTGTCGGTGAAGACAACTTCCGGATTTTCCATGTCTTTCGCCCAAATCACAGCAAAACTTGGCGCTTTCTGTGCCTGCCTGCCCTCCAGAGACGTGGACTTTAACATTTCCGGACGATTTAAAAGAAACGGCGGGGGTAGCCCCTGAAGGGTGTTCTCTATCCTTCCGCATATGGCTCTAATACGGGGTAGTTATGTTAGCCCAACTCGAACGCATAGTGAATGATACAACTTGGAATTAATTTCGTCTCTGGGAAGATTAGTACATTTGGTAACGGCAAAACTTTGCACGAAAACATCATTAGCATAGTTTTCCTGCAAAGTCTATGGACGCATTAAATCCACTAAACCCTCGCCAGAGACCTAATTGATCACATATTCCATCACCACTTTGCGTGAACACAACACAGCACCCATGCATGCATTCATTCAATCAAATACCTGTACAAGTGAGATTCCTTCATTAAGCCGCCCAATACAAGACTCTTAAGGTAGATCGGCTCAATAAAATGTGACAATAATGCTCCTTGGAGACCCATAACATTCCATTTGCATATTTTATCGGAACATGACATTGTGAGAAGCCGTTCACCCTGTATAAACCCACGATTCAGCCACTGATTGAAAATTTCTCATTGATTGACCTACCTGAATAATACCATCCCAGGTTTGGAAGACAAAAGTGCCCTTGATCGGAATTGTGCCTTCCCCGGATTCGATTTTGGTACGTAGCTGACCTCGGGATATCCTATTAGGGTGCCGATCTATGCCAGAGTCTTCGTGCGGGCTGAAAATGCGGGCGTCGCCACAAGGGGCGGTATTGATGTACAGATGAAACTCGACGCCGTCCTTCAGTCTGTACCCTCGGTTGTTCTCTTTCAGGGTGAAGATCGATGTTGATGTCAACTCTACAAAATCGTTCTGTCTGGCGAATCTATTTCAAATGCAAGAAAAAACGCCGATTATACCTGGATCAGTGATCAATTCCAGCTGATCGAACAGGTAGCTAATCAGGCATCGCCTGGCGAGGATTTCGGCGTGCATGTCGTTCAATGAGGTGCCATTGAGGCAAATGTGGCCTCCCGAGACGCACTTCGTGCCGGTGGTCACGCATAGAACCTCCGCATCATCCAAAGTGTCGCTCCTCGTCATCACTATGCCGGCCAGAACCTTGCGGCGCTGATGTTGGGTGTCGCCTTCCATCACTTCCGAGAACTTATCGTTAACCATCCTGAAACCCATCGGATTACAGACATGGGCAAACTCAACCGATTGCCTCAGCTTACTTTCCGATTCCATCGGCTTTAAGCATACTCTCGCGAGTCATGTTCGAACCGAGATCCGACTGAGTGCCGTTCAGAATGCTTGAGGGGACGTACTTGATGAGCTTGGCCAGCGCTATCTTGGCGGCCGCACATTTGGAGTTTCTTTTGCTGGAACCTGCAAAAAAACGCGGTTAAAGTGCGCTAAAAACTCGCGCACTGGTGGTTTCGGCTACTTACCCGTTCCAGAAAAACTGTCATTCTCAATGGCAATCGTGGTCTTAAATCGGTTAACTATATCAGTTTCATGGTGTGTGAAAGTGTAAACCGCATTCGGATAAAGCTCGTTCAGCAACATGACTGGGTTTTTATCTCTGGGAGGAATCACTGCCGTCGGTTTGTTCTCATCGGAGATTTTATCGCTGGTGAAGTCCGTGTTCTTCACGGTTGCGTTGGACATTGAAAATATAGTCCCATTGATGGGGAATTGGACAAAGGACTTGAGCGCCTCTTCGGCCGCTTTAGCACGCGCCGTTTTCTTCGACATGCCGATTCCGTAGTACTTTTGCCCATCCACCTCCACGTAGACATTGAAAACGGGGTTGTGAGGCGGCCCGGTCACATCAACCACCTCATATTTCACCCCAACACGCAGCTCGTTCAGAATGGACACCGGATTCTTATCGGTCAGATTGATATCGAGTCGCTTGCGCTTCGATGGGCTAGGTTTGTCGAAGGTTTTGTCATCTGGAAATGCGACAGAGTGGCGAACAAGGCTTGAAGGAATATGGGCTGGTTTACCCACCAAGGATGGGGAATGACATGCACTAACAGGGAACTGCACATTTTTTTAGGTCCTTGATATACTTACCAAGAGTTCGGAAGCGTTTCAACATTCCTGAAAAATCAATGACTGATTTGATAAAAAAATACCCCGCAAAGGAAATTTTATTGTTTCAAATAGCGATGGAAATAATGGATTTTTTCTTCCCTTTCTGAACGTAATCAAATGATGATTACGCACCCAAAGTAATGAATCATGCAAATGCGGTTAGCAGGTCCTCACTTGCTGAAGAAAAGCGACGTGGATTCCAAAGATAAACCGCAGCGGGCAAAATCGTAGTTGCAGTAAGGAGTTGAGAGCAGGAATTTATGAACAGTTAAACTTTAACGGTAAACAAGCACAAACTAAACATGCAACGATTCAATCAAGCCCAAAATGCAGAGCAAAACGAAAGTGTGTCCCCATTATAATGAAGCGATGCAATGCCCGAAAAAAATGATACAATCCCACATTTAAATGCCCTGAATGTTTTACCTTCGCGTCCCTCCTTCTGTGGGCTGTCGTCGCTCTGAAACGAGGCGAAAGAGTCCTCTTTTTGCGAAATATTAAAAATCAGCCGAAGAGCGTTTAGAGCTGCACTATTGCGCGCAATCTTTTTCGAGGGTCCAGATCCGAAGAACTTTTGTTCGCAACTTTTCACTTTGAGTGATAGCACAAACATAGGATCGTGTGCGGGTCCCGAAACACTTTCCACTTCGTAAGTTAGTGTGGCGAACAGTTCGTTCAGTATGGAGACTGGGTTTTTGCCACTTGCAATCTGATTGATTTGGCCGGGTTTGATTTTTAAATTTGGAAATACACCTGCAACTGAAAGGAAAATCAACGAAAATGCAGCTTAATTGGCTTCGGAGACCCGGAACTCTGCACTGGCGGCTTCTTTCTAGGCGGTTTGAAGTGTATCAGATTCATATTAATGGGCTCAAACAACAGCATGCAATTTGCTAGATATTGGCATTCGCATCTGGTGCAACTAAAGCTAGTAAACGACATCCACCAGGCGAAACAGGCAGCAGGAGAAAACGACCTAAACAAACCAACGCCACCCAAAAACATACTCACCATCGAAGGGCCGCTTGCTACCGGTGGTCGGACCCAGCGAGCCTTCATCGCTGTCCATTTGGGCCGCAGTGTAATCGATCTTGATTTCCCCGTTTTCGGCACAGCTCCTGGGCTTCTGGCTGCTCATGGGGATTTCGGACTCGCTTCCCATTTTTCCAGTTGAAGGATGGATTTTTCTACTGAAGCAACTCGACCAGTATTTGAACACGCGGCTAATCTGTCCTGCACGGACGAGCTAACAAAAAAAACGACGATAAAAACCAGCAAATAATACACTTCGGAGTTGGGACAGGAATTTGCAAAGATAATCCAATCGATCAATAAATTTGAACTTGACACCACTGACAGCTCTATCTTCTTAACGACGCCACTAAAAAGCACAGATCACAGGGGTTGCTCTGTGATCTGTGCTCAATGAACTGTATACAAGTACCTGGAAGCAGAGACAAGAAATAATTATTATCCCTTTTATCTCTTGTCTCTGCCTGGAACGGACCATATTCACGAGAAAAGTGAGGCAAAATCTAAATGTAGGTAATCCTCTGTCCTGACGGGTGTATGTCTCTTTCTAGCTCATTGACTTATACGGAGATTTGCTGCAATATTCAGCAATTTTGGTTTTTCTTTAAACAATTACAGTACGATAGTTAAGTTATTGCTGAAAATATTACAAAATTGAACTCTCTTAAAGATTCCAGGTATAAAGATCATAATTACAATTCTGAAGTGGAATAATGTAGGATAAAGAAAGTAAAAGCAAAATTAATACACGTAAAATAGGGATAAAATACTTTATTTATATAAGTAGTAAAAAATATACAGTTAACAACTTTATTTTAACTTTTAAACTACATACTTATATATTTCGTTTTGAAAATGTTTTTTAAAAAACTATTTATTCGCAAGTTCTACAAATCGAGTCTTAATGGTACGGCTTATGAATAGAGAATGAATAAAACAATTTTGATTTGTCGTAAAGAAGACAAAAGTGTCTGAAGTGTTCCCGGATGTTAGAAGGCTGTAGGTATCCGTGAGAAGGTGTGTTGGGCTGATGGCTTATTTTATTGAGTTTTAACAATTGTTAAATAGTATGGGTTTTGTCATTTTTTGCCTGACTGTCGCAGCATTTCCATGCAACTTCATATTAAGAAGTGAAAAGTGGTGGTGCATTCGGCATTTTATAAAAATATCCAGAATTTTTCGGATGAGCTGAATCTTGTGACACTCATAAATTCTTGAATTACAGGGTGCTTGGGATTGAACATATTAATGTTTAGGGCTAAGTATTGAATAGCCATATTAACAATTCTCTTCTTTACATTTAATGGACTTTAGAATTTCGTCCGTTTCTAACATACAGGGTGTCCCGTAAGCTCATGGTCAAAAGGGTACTGCGATATTCTTTGGACCAAAAGAAACGATCTGACCTAACTTTTATTAACAAAAAATGTCTGGCTCCTCTGCTATTGATGGTAAAAGTTCTTAACAAAATTTATCTTTTTTTAAATATCGGGAGAATGGTACGATGTATTTTAGTGAAACCCGCTGTGAATTTGTTCTTATGTAAGACTCATATTGTGATGAAACAATCGAGTTCAGCCGTTTTGGACAAGTGGTGAATTATTGAGTGTCGTGGTACAAAAGCTACAAGAATTTTTTTATTTGGTGGATGGAATCAACTCATTTTTTTGTTGATGCACTAATCATTTGTTCACAATTTTCTGCTCTTTGTAAAATCTTGTAGCATTCATAGTTTTGGCGAAAAAAAACATTTCTGTTTTCTTGCCACTTAACAACTTAACAACTTGTCTTCATCTATGGTTAGATAACTTAATAAAATATATTAATAACTTAACACAATAAGTCACAATGACGTGTAATCAAAATAAGTGTCAAATTTGACTAGTTAAAGTGTAGTTATGATTTAGCCGCCAATGGGCGTTCGTTATTGGATGATTTTATAATTATATTTTATTTTTATATATACATACATACACAGCCTTGATTGAAGGCGCCTACATTTTCAGGAGAAACTGCTCAATATTATTTACTTTCTATTAAATTATTTTTGTAATTTTTTACTAAAGGAGTTTGAAGGAAAACACTTTTGGGCATAAAATTTAAACTGGCCCAATAAAAACACTACATTGGATTCAAATAAAGGGCATCTGACTTTCCAGCAAAGCAATTTGAAAAATTCTAAAAATATGCCTGAAATACAACCATTCTCTTGCCGTCTCTCTTGAATTGATGAACTTTGGTATACCTAACCAATAAGCAATGACAACCATGACAACTGTCTATTTATTGTTTATGTAAGCAAAGTTGTTTTTAAATTAACCAAATTGCCTCTAAACGTCCTGCACTATGATCCATAGTTTGTTTATAATCAACTCCCAGGGGTAAGTGAGCGGTTGTCCCATTTCCCTGTTTATTGGGGTTGATGGGCTGTCTCCTTCCTTCAGGGATGTGTTTTTGGAGAAACACTGGCGAAGCGTGATCTCTAGGTCCGTATGCGACTACTACCTGGAGGCTCAGAGGGCCAATTCCAAAGACATCAACCCTGTAATAACCACCCCACATCACTATCTTATATCGATTCAACGGTCAGGAGTGAGTTACGTGGCGGTTTGCATGGAGGAGATTCCTCCTCTGTTCGTTATCGAGTTTCTCCATAGAATTGTGGACACATTCCAAGTGAGTACGCCTTAGCAAGACTAAAGATTGCATAGTTTTGCGGGAAATTCCAGGACTATTTCTCCGACTGCACAGAGTCGATAATCAAGGAAAATTATGTGATAGTTTATGAGGTAACTAGGCCACGGAAATTGTTGAGGCCGCCTCTTAGAAATGTTGTTGTAGCTCTTGGATGAGATGCTGGACAATGGCTTTCCGTTGGCCACTGAGAGCAACATTCTCAAAGAGCTGATTAAACCCCCGAATATACTCAGAACCATCGCGAACACTGTTACCGGAAAAACCAAGTGCGTTTTGCCGAAACGCCTTTTTATTTACTCTAATTAAAACCACCTCGATTCTAGCGTGAGCGAAATTCTTCCCAGCGGCCAGCTCTCCAACATCCCCTGGCGCCGATCCGGGGTGAAATACACTAACAACGAAGCGTACTTTGATGTTATCGAGGAAGTGGATGCGATCATTGACAAGTCTGGAGCGACAGTTTTTGCGGAAATTCAGGGATATGTAAGCGACTGATCCAGTCATAATTGGGGGTTTAATTGTGGATTTTAGATAGATTGCTGCATCAAGCTGAGCGGCATGCCCGATCTCACACTTTCTTTTATGAACCCCCGCCTGTTTGACGACGTCAGTTTTCACCCCTGTGTGCGCTACAAGAGATGGGAGGTAACAACCTGCTAACTTAACTTGCATCGCCCTAAACTACGAAGCTTCCAGGCGGAAAAAGTGCTATCTTTCATCCCCCCAGACGGCAACTTCAGGCTGATTTCCTATCACATCAACACTCAGAGCAGTGTCGCAATTCCGGTCTACGTGAGACATAATTTGTCGATAAAAACTGGAGAGCAGGCGCGATTGGACCTGACTGTGGGCCCCAAGCAAACACTGGGGAGAACCGTGGAAGGTACGCACCCACCCTTTCAACTCCCCCAACTGACTGGCGTTTGCGCGATATTTCAGGCGTTAAGTTGGAGGTTCTCATGCCCAAATGCATTCTAAACTGTGTGCTAACAGCCAATCAGGGCAAGTACAATTTCGACCCGGTGTCGAAGATGCTTCACTGGGATATCGGAAAAATTGACATCACCAAGTTGCCGAACATCCGAGGATCTGTCTCCATCGCAAGCGGCACTAACACTGCTGAAATCAACCCGTCGATTAACGTCCACTTCGGCATTAATCAACTGGCGGTCAGCGGCCTGAAAGTGAATCGTCTGGACATGTACGGCGAGAAGTACAAGCCCTTTAAAGGAGTCAAGTATATGACCAAAGCTGGCCGGTTCCAAATTCGCATGTAAGAAACCCAGAATAAATGTATTGTTTGCACTTGCCTGGGGAACATGGAAAAATTGCCCTTAAATATTATGACAGCGCTGCACCAGCTCCTTGAGCCCGTCGGTGATGATTTGCAAAGACTTCAAGTCGGTGTCTACGATATTGATCAGTTGGCTGATTCCGTTTTGCTCCAGCTTCAAGAACTGCTTGATTTCATCCTGAGCGTCCGCATTTACCTGGTATAGGTTTGTCTGCTTTGCTGAGCTTTCGATCATTTTCACATGCGAGAGAAGCTCGTTTATTTGACCCTGCAAACGACAAAACATTTAATTGGTTTGTTGTGTCAGCGATAGCGGAAAAATGTGTTTATCGCGAAAATAGCTGCAACGTTCCAAGCCAGGCAATTAGCTAGTCAGGCGCTGATATAAGTAAGGACTAAGGCTGATCTAATAAAACTTCTCTTGGTGAGCCAAAAATGGATTATTTTGAGACTAATTTGGATATCGTGAAGCGCAGGCTGAACGTCCTTGTGAACAGTACTGAGGTAAGAGACTAATTTGCAGCTTACCTTGAATTGCTTGGGCATATTAAGCTGGGAATGCATCACCTCCAAGCGGCCCCTCAAAAGCTCTTCATCTGGCTGCAGGGCGATGCCCACTTTTCGCGTACTTTCCTGCTTGACCAGCACCTAAAAATACCCGGTTTTTAGTTCGGGAAGAGACTAGAACCCAAAATAATTACCCGCAGGATCCTGTGCTGCAGCTCGAGGAACTTCTGCTTCAGATCGGCGATTTGAGCGTTTGTCGACGTGTGTCTTGTCTTCAGGACTGTGATGTCTTTCTTCACCTTATCCAGAAAAGCTGAGTGCAGGCCGGTCTGGTGCTCCTGGTTCAGCATCCGCGCTCTGAGATCCGTGAACCCGTTGATTGGCACGGGAATGTACTTTTTCGGGTTGGGGTTGTCTTGGATGGCGGCCTGCCACATCTGCTGGTCGATGCCTGCGGCGATTTAAAACTTTACAGCTGTTTGCTGGAGACGCTTGGAATATTTACCTGGGGGAGGATTCTTCAGGTACTCCTCCAGCTCGGCCTTGCTGGGGGTGACAAAGGGTGACATTGCTATCACCCCGACGTTGGCTAGCTGCTGTTTTTGCGTCGGCTGGTTCAAGAAAGCGGCCAGCTCAGTGGCCGGAATCTTCCTGCTGCAGCCAGTAACTCCTTTTTCAGACACGCAGATTTTCACTTCGGTTTGCGTGTCGCATAGCGCCTTGATCAGTAGAATTTCCACCGTCAGATTGGGCCGATTACCCAGGATTCCTCCAATGCCGTTCTTCAGCACTTCTTGTTGATTTCTGCAACTCCAACAGTGCAAACTGGGGGCCAAACACGATCCGCAGCACCTACCGTAAGTCGGCGATTTTCCTGTTAAAAACGATCTTTACCACGCCTTCAGAGTTATCCTGCTCCGGGATAACGTTGTAGCCCATTGCCTTAAATCGATAAAACGGATTTTGGGGCGTGTACTCAACAGGCGGCTGGGCCGCGTTGTAAAATCCCTTGCCAGATGCCCAGCACGCCTGCAGCATGTTCCACTTCTTCAAAATATCATCCCGGTCATCGTTGAACACATTGATTGAATACACTGAAGCCACTGCCTGTTGATTTCTGCTCTGAGGGGCAACTGTACAAAATGAACTGTGAGTTCTAGCTCAAACTACAAACTTCTTGTGCTCGTCTCACCGAGTTGTTGTTGGGGCTTCGCCCCAAACAGGCTGGTATTGGCGGCAAAGTTGGTGCCTGCTCCTGCCCCGAACGCCCCAAGCCCCGTGTTGGTGGTGTTGAAGGTGTTGGTGCCAAAAAGTGAGGGTGCACTGCTTTGAGCCGCCCCGAAAAAATTGCCCCCGAAACTTGGGGCGGCGCTGGCAGTCGGCTGGCTAAAACTGGAACCGAACAAACTGGGCACTGTGCTAGCTGGGGCTGCAGACTGCCCAAAGATCGAAGGCGTCGTCACGCTGCCGCCGCCTAAACACCAGAAAAATCAGCAAACCAACCCTTTAAGGGGTGGATAAATCTGACGAGCCGAGCTTGATCCGAACCTGAGTCGCGGCAAGTTCGTCAGACTTGTACGGGGTTTGCGAGTACGCAACGAGCTGCTCAAGTGAGGCTCGCCGCAATTCATTTTCTGTTGGTTTTTTGACGAAACATAAGTACAAGCCTCGCTCGAGCAACTCGTTGCTTATACATACGCAAACCCCGTAAAAATGTGATGAACTTGCCTCTGGCTCGGCTTAGGCTTGACGCGTCAGATCTATACACACACCTTTATATTCCTCCTGCCCACTTACCGAACAATCCGGGCGCGCTTTGCGTCGTTTGAGTGTTTCCAAACAACGTTGGAGCTGCGCTCGCCGTATTCCCGAACAATCCTGTACTTGAAGTGGCTGGAGCACCGAACAGCGTGTTGGTTGGCTTCGTGGTCTGTCCGAAAAGACCTTAAACAGCCACAATGAGTGTCGCTTTCAAGTTCAAAGCGTGTTTATTTTTGACTCACTAGTGTTCTGCTGTGGGGCGCCGAAAGAGGTGCCAAAGGCAGGGGCCGCGCTACTGGCAGGCGTGCCGAACGTCGAACCAAACATAGGGGCTGCGCCTGTGTTTCCGGCCGCAAAACTGGTGCTGGCCCCGAAAGCAGGGGGCGCATTGGTAGTCGAGGTACCAAAAGCCGATCCGAACCCGGCGGTTGGTCGCTGCTGCCCAAAGCTGAACCCTGTGGGTTGAGCGGTAGTGGCCTGAGGGCTTCCAAAGGCGGTGGCAAATCCTGTTGCTGAAAAACATCGAAAAAGCTGTCTTAATTGATTCTGCTGCTTGGAATTTATGCAGATTCTTTGCTATTATTCAAGTAATTGCCCATCAATTGCATGACACACTCACTTGAATACTAATCGAATGTGTAATTATGCTAAAAAAACTTTTCCTCGAGCTCTAATTGCCCGTAATTGCGCCTAGATACCAACAACAAAATTCTGCTGTTAGTATTGGTTACAACGCCAGGAAAGTAATGGATTTTATTGGGGATATCTGGGATTCCATCGGCAATTTGCTATTTCCTAACCGGGTAAATTCTGTGATTCCGCCTCCTGTTGTTGACGCAAGTTTTGGTGTGCTTTTCAGGCGCCTGTGGCCCCAGAAGAACCGACCGCAGCCCCGTTCAAGCTGCATCCGGTGGAAATCGATATAACGCTCAGGCCAGCCACTGAGCCCCCTGAGCAGCTTCAGAAAATCTTCAATGAGCTGATCCAACGCCTGCCCCGAGCGGGCAGCAATGCCACCGAGGCCCCTGAAGAGGATCTAGTGTCGCAAAAGACCTTAACTGGGGGCGGGTTTGGGGAAATCTACATTATAACAGCCTTGGCGCTGATCATTCTGCTGCTGCTCACCGCTGGCGGGTTTTGGTGGTGCCGCTACAATAAGCTGAAAGCCGAAAAGAGGAACCTCTACCCAGTAGTGGCAGTTTCGAACAGTGAATACATGGACCCGCAAGCTCTGGCCAATGGGGACAAATTGAAAGGTGTACCCTAAATCAAGGTGTTAGTTGTGGGGCACCAAATAAAGCTTTCAACTGCAGGTTTTTATGGGTGAATTATGGAATTTTAACTTACGCTTTTGCGGAGTGCTGCCAAAGGCCGGCGTGCTGGTACTTCCAAAGTTAAAGGACATGATGCCTCCAATTGAATGGAGCTATTCGTTTTTGAGCCTCAAAAAGCTGTTGATTTGTTGTTTGAGACGCAAACTTGAAGCGTAACCTCAAAAATTTTAGAGCTTCTCACAGGGTTGCCGCCAAGTTAACTGTTGACTTTCCCGCTGCAACCAATCAAATCATCGCGTACGACATAACCCCCAAAAGTATTGTTTATAAACACAGCAGTGACGTCTTGGCAGCTGATTGTCATGCAAAGTATTGCGTTATCAATATGTAATTAGTGGCCAAATTAAGGGCTTTGTGCAGGGTTAATTAAAATGTCGGACATGTTCTCCACGTTGGCCGAAGTGCTCCGTCCCGTTGGCCGTGATATTTCCAAAGGGAGAGGCAAGCTGTGCCTTAGTTCGACGAATTTGGCCTACTTGAACAAGGCATTCGATGAGAACTGGTCGGAAAACCTCTCCACTTCTTTCCACCAAACTGAGGCCAAAGCAGCACTGATGGTCGACCTGCAGTTCTTGCTGGACCTCGTTAAGAGCACAGTTGCCTTAAAGGTAGTCCCTGATGCTAGTCCGGATCCCCTGGCCAGCCCCATCGTAAACCTGCAGCGGTTCCAAAGCCTCAAGTCGCTGGAGATTCAGAAACTCGACCTAAGGAACATCGTGGGCATTCAACAGCTGCGCGCCAGACTGGAGGACTTGACTAGCATGCACAACTTGGAGCATATAGCGGACATTCTGGACAAGTGCGGCGGCGACTGCAGCCAAGTGGATAGATTCAACTGGAGCGAGCTGAAGAGGCTGAACTTATCGCACAATCGCATCCGGGATGTCGAGCCGATTTTCGATGCGACGCCGTGGCTGCAAGTCCTCGATCTCAGCAGCAATGAAATCGGAAAATTGGACCCCATTGAGCATCTGCCCAACTTGAAGATGCTCAATTTGTCCTTTAACAAACTGGAGGCGGCGCCTCGATTCAAAGGCCCAGTCACTCGAAGGCTACAGGTGAATATACATTGTTTTACTTGCTTCTACTGCGGGGTTTTGGACTGTCATTTATAGCAAGGTTATTTTATTATGATTCCAGACTCTGAAGTTGAACAACAATTTCCTAGAGGACATCAGTGGCCTTTCCACTCTCTCCAACCTCCAGCAGCTGGACCTGGCTCAGAACTGCCTGATAGATCACAACGTGCTGCTCTCCATCGCCCAAATCGGCTCCTTGTATTGTCTGGACTTGAGGGGCAACCCGATCAGCTTCCACCGGCAGCACCGCACCCTCACCTGCAACTACTTGAACAAGAACGTGGCCTCCTTGAATGTGGTGCTGAACAATGAGCAGCTCAGCAAGTCTGAAAAGTCGCTTACCGGGTCGCTGCGTCCAGTCGCACAGTCCTCTTTGGAGCTTAGCTCTTCGGAACGCGCCAGGAAGGCCAAACCACGACGAGTCCGGAACGTGGTTATTCAAGAAGGTTTTGGGGCTGAGGCCCACGAAAGACGAGTTGAGGCCGTGAGCGCTTCGCCTCGAAGCTTGCATTTCGACCGCAATCATCTGGATGTGAAAAAAAAGGCGGGTGTTTCGAAGACGTGTAATGGAGGCAAGTTGTGACTCATTTTTTTAGATTGAGCAAATGAGTCAAAGTGATCGGAAGGGGTGGCTGTGGCACCAGTCTGGAATGGACTATGTGAACTTTCTGAACTTCCCCCAGCCTGCTCAGGAGAACTCAGGAGCTGGTTCCTGCCCGTCTGAAGAGATTCGGGACGCAGCAGATGTTGAGGACGAGCAGAGCAGCGACTCGGAGGTGGTAAACGGCATTTTTTTTGGCAGCGACAGTGGCGATCCAGGTAAGCAGGAAATAACGAAATATAATCGTACGCAGTTAGTCAAAAGCGTACCAAAAGCACCGTTTAAGAATTTACCTCATATACTAATTCTTGTAGAACTCTCAGACGATGATGATTTGCTCAGCGGCGAGCCATTTCTAGCCAAAATCGTGCCGGGCATGTTGGATATTGGGGTGCTGATCACCAAGCGACATATGTTGGAAAGGAACGCCGTCACTTCAGAAGTAAAGTCCAGGTAAATCCTTTGCGCGCAAAGTGAGCCCCCCAGAGTCAAAGTCGTTTCCAGATGGTTTCTGGGCAGCGTGCGGTCCTGCCAACGCGGCGAAGAACCCAATCAGGTGCTGATCCAGTTCGACTCCCCGCTGAAGGAGAAAATGTCTCGAAACTACATCATCGATGATCCCGAGCGGTTCGTTAAGCTGCTGCTGGACGGCAGGCAGGAGAATATGCGGCCAGAGGAGCGCATTCAGTACCAGTGTATGAAATGTAGCAGTTTGTTTAGCAGGACTAAGGAGATCAGCCTCCATGTGGAGGTGAAAGTAACGTGCCCCAAGTGCGAAAGTAACCTAGTCGTGGTGGCCAAGTAACGAAACCTCAGTTCTGTTTGTAATTTTTTGTTGCCTATAAAGTCGATATTTTTTACCCCTGATGAATTCAGTTGAAAATATTGGAAGCCAGTGGTAGAATACATCTACTGGTTTCTTCGGCTCCAGACACTTTCATGGTCTTCTTTCATGATTTTTCTCTAGCGACAACAGTCGAAGTTGCGCGCCTTAGTTTCCACGAGTGGTCCTGGTTTGCCCGCCATTCACAGTGCTCGACACAGATCACCGAGTGTCCTCTATGATCTGTGGCGATGGATAATATTCGAATTAATTCCCCTTTTGAGGCAGTTTTGACTACCTGCGGACTTTTCCCTCTATCTCTAAGTGATAAGGAGCAAACTTAAGGCCCGTTTTTTGGGAGCCAACAGGGAAAATACGGGAATATTTAAATTCTCCGACGCACAGTCGTCCGCTGGGGGGGCGCTGACTGTTGACACTGTCAAAATGACAGTCGTTCTTTCTGTTATTCCTGTGTGTTATTCTTTGTTCTCTGAAAGGGCATTTTAAACCCAAAATTCTGCAAGTTTTGCAATTGTGAACTGCGTTTGGGTAGTCGAAGTTGTTCCGGAAGAATGTACAGTGACAGGTATTTATAGTGTTTTTGCCAATGCTGTTTTATCGCCTTTTTGGTTGGGGCATCTAATATGGATAAAATAATTGCTGCCACATTGCCAGACTCTCGATTGTTTAACGAGACCCTGTTGAAAGTTTATTTTGCCATAGCAACCTGGAGCCCTGTCGGGCTGCGGAGCGCAGTCAAGTATTTCTCTCGATCAAACCGCCTCGTTTTTTTCACTAAATTGTAGTTACAAAACGTGTCCCTAGTAGTTGAATCGCGCCAAATTTTCCAGCTTTTTCAAAATTCCCCAAGTCTACTCTGGAGTTCTGTTTGGAAGCAAACCGCTAGGAAAAGCCCTCTCCATTTCCCCTCCAGAAAACCACATCGGGAAAGATCTCGCTATCAGTGCGACAACATCGCATTCTATGTTCTACAGTGACAGGTTTATACAACTGCTCCTGGTTTTTCCTCATTTTTCGACTTGGAGCCCCAGAGTTGCGCTAGTGCTTCGCCCTGTCGTTTTCTCAGGTCTGCCGCAGCTTTCGCTGTCAACAATCTACACAGAGTGGTCCCCAATAGTGTGAAAAATCTGCGTAGAACGCCACAAGGCATGTTGGTGATTACCCAAAATGATTGACCAACTATAATTGGTTCGTTGTTTTCAAAAAACCCCCACTAAGCAGTGCTGATTGGTAAGTTCTTAGAGGAATTTGAGGGCATGCCCTTGAGGATTGGTTTGAGGTTGGAACAATTCCAGTAGTTCTGGCTGGCAACGGAGCTTTTCTGGTCTTGCTGTGGGTCTTTATTTGATCGGAAAACCTTTTCGGGGCGGGTTTCTGACGAGATCTTCAGCATTTCAAATGGGAAACTTTTTCTTTCAGTTAATAAGAGGCTCCTACTATATTGCTAGTTTAGTGCAAATATCAGAATGGTTTCCACGCGACAAATGTCGAACTGTAGCAACAACAATGGGGAGGGGCTCAGTGGGGCGGCAGGCCCCAGTAGTGCCCCCCACGTGTACACGCCTGACTTGGGGCCGGCCAAATGCACCAGGAACAGTTTAATGGCAGTGGGGGCTGCAATGGCTGGAACTGTGCAATGTTACAAGTAAGAAAACCTCTGTTCTGCGTTAAAAATGCAATCAAACCTGTTAATAATTAATTGCAGAGTGCAAAACGTCCCGGTACCAGCGTTAAAACTTCTAGACCTGCCGGACGAAGTCTTAGAAAAGATCTTCAGCTACTTGCCATTTAAGGAAATTTGCAAATTGCGCTTGGTGAGTGTCACACAAAAAATCAGCCCTGTTGAGTCTAATAATCTGTAATCTGTTTGTTGTAGGTTTGCCGGCGTGTAGACCAAATAAGCGCCTACATCCTCAACTCCACATTCTCAAAGCTGCAAAATCAGATGCTGCAGCGGTTCCAGGAGATTAAGAGCAAAATGCCGCGGCGTGAGTCGGCCAGACGAAGCCACCATTTGGCTTGCGAAAGCGACATTGTCGAAACGCTACACATGCGACTGACTTTGTTGCAAATGTCTTTTGGCAAGCATATCGAGAGGAAGCATTGCTGCTTCTTCCCGGGCGAAATTCTCGACGAAGTCTACTCCATTCTCCATTATATTAAAGTGAGTTTTTGAGGGCTTTTTATCAATTACCGGGGCTATAATAGGGGCTCGATGTAGACCACCCCCAGACTGGATTTGCCGTACAAAGTCACAGACGAACTGTTCGATCTGTCCACAATGGCTATGGAATACTTCAAGGAAAAAATAGAGCCCAATTTGCCGGAAATCGCCTACTTCAGCTCGGATTTCATGAACTTCTCAAGCAGTTTTGCCAGTAGGTTTTACCCCGTTATCGGTGGCAGCTATGTTTATCAAGTCCTTTAATTGCAGGCCCTAGTTCGAGTAAGTATTGTCTGGAGGCATCCACCATGTCCTCGGACTCATCCAAAGTCGACCAGGTTGACGCAGACGTTTTGGAAGAAGTAATACTCAACTTTCTTAAATGAAAAATATTCGCTCATCTTGCCGTTTGTTTTTTATAGGAGTTCGTGGAAATTCCGCAGTCGAACATGGTTTTGCGTAAAAGAATCCGCAAAATTAAGCAGGGCATGAAACGCTACAACAGCCAACTGACGGTGCTGCGCCAAGAGCTGAAAGCCTGCAAGAAAAAGACCGCCGATCAGCAAAAACAGGTCACCGATCAACAAAAGCAACTGGCTGATCAGCAGAAACAGACTCTGGAGTATGCCACAAGGTGAGCGTTTTGGTCTCCGTTTTCAAGCACCGTGGGTTGAGGTGAATCGTTTGCTCACAGATTGGACGAGTACGATAAGAAGAACGACGAAATTTCGCGCAAGTTTAGCACGTTGCTTCAAGAGCTGAACAAGTGCAAAACCGAACTCCAGTATTGGAGATGCAAATCGCCCGCCACTTCACCAGTTTGCAACAGCTGCGGAAATCTAGTGGTACCGGAACCGGACGAAATTCAGGCTTTGATCAATCAGGGAGTGCATCCGGAGGAACTAGGTGAGTTCGTGTTTTGTCCAGCTATACTGGGAAATTTTTCAGATCGCCAAATTTGTGCGTGGTTTTGTCAATGATCATGTCTCGAAAGAACTTCGGACCAAAGGTTTAGCATGCCGTGAAAGAACTTTTCTGAAAGAGCACTTTATGGCCGCTTTCCTGTAGTAGATTGATAGTCAAAAGAACCATTTCAAGGGCAATTTCTATCTATAAGGGTCGAAATAAAATTTCCAACCTGAATAGAATCTGATACCGTCCTAAGGCGTTGGTTGTACTCGAATTGTGCTGGATCATTTCCCTTGCCGGCTATTAGAAAATGGAAGAAATCCACAATTTTCAATTAAAAGTTCAGGTCTAATGAGAGTTAATTTGAGATATGAACCATCATTGTTCTGTGCGAATTCTGAACCAATTAGGTATGTTGATTAGGTTTGCCGGCAATCTCGGAAGCAGCGGCTGGCAGCCCAAATCCGGATCAAAGCACCCCTAATAAGTCCAAAGATGCAGCAGTGCCGCCTATCAAGCCGTCGAGAATTCCGAAGGAATGTGGCAATTTGGAAGCAGAACCGTCTGATTGGTTGTCCGAGAAGAAGGTAAGTGATTTTGACCGAGAATCAACCGTCTCGATGAAGCTAATTGTTGCGTTATTTAGGCAGAGATGAGTGTGTCTTCGTCAGGTCCGACTCCCCGCCAATCCAAACGAAAGTCTTCGTCAGAGGAGCGCGATGAGGAACATCAGGCGAAGAAAACGAAACGTTCAGGAAAAACGCGCTGTAAGCGCGCCAACTCCAAAGTTTAGGCCAGCAAATAAACACATGTCAGGAATAATCAGAGACGACGTTAATTAATCCACAGGTGTAGGTAAGCGACACAGCGAACGCGTTTTCGGGCGCATTTTCCCATTAACACACCAAACTCCTCAAGAAGATGCTTCAGTTCTGCAGTAGATGTGTAGCCGCTGTTCGAAAGCACCGTACTGTGCTTGGATGCAAAATGAGAGCACTGTAAGGTGGCTTTCAAGCAATCTAGTCTGTAGATCGAGAAATATGTTACAAAAGTAGCTTTCAATGGAGCGGCAGTCGGGTTTTTCTTGGATTTTTCGGGTCCTCATAGTTTAGTAAGGCGTAGCACACAAACAAGGAGTTTTCCAATTTTTTCCTGACCGATAACTCACAATCAAAATGTATCAAAACGTAGTTTTACAGCGTATGAGCCTCGAAAGTTTTCAAACGGAAAACTCGCGCCGCTTTGCGGAAAAAAACCCTCTTTTTGAACAACTCTAGATGTAGCTTTGAACAGTTCCCAGCACGCCGTTTCTAATACATACGCAATAGACTTCAGAGCCGGATTAGTAGAAAATGGTAATATTTTTCGTTTAATTGTCACAGGACAAATGAGGTACGTGTCCAAATAAATACAAAAACCGATTTCCTCCATTCGCGCAGAAAGTTGTTTCGTAGAGAAGTACAATAATTGATACAGTCAGCTTTAAATATTCGCAGTCAGTGACGATCACCAGTGTATTTTAGTGTGTCAGGGAGTGGCCATATTTTGTTCAGAGTTTACTTCAAGCATCTCGGATGACCGGACGATTTACATAAAACTTAAGTACCTAATTTAGTGTGTAAAGTTCTATTTTATAAATCGATTAGTTTTAACTTAGTTGTAATCTCATTCATGTACGATTGATTTCGATTTGGACTGTCTGTTCTCAGCGTCGCCCGGTTGATTTTTCATTAGGTTTAGGTCTTGAATTCGATTTGATTTTTGTTGTGCGAACTGATTTCGTTGTCTCCATCTAACTCAATTGCGACGTTCAAAAACCCGTGCAATAAAAACAAGATTTTTCCTAGCGAAAACTTATAAAATTTGTTTATTCATGAGGCTCCACTCAATTGCTCGGATATCGTCTTTTGCGGCGATTTCCTCCTGTATTTAATTAAATTGCAGTGGAAGTTTTTCAAAAAAAAAATGGACAATAAAGTTCTTAAATTTGTTTAATTGTAAGTAAAGTGTCGGTCTGCTACAGAGTTCGCATGGCATTTTTTTTTATTAGTGTAAGGAACGGCCCCTCACGATTCGGACTAAAGGAGAGAATTTTTGTTTTGGCATTTATTTCCGTTGACTGAAAGTGTCCTTTTTTCGTTTGATTCCGACATTTAGCCGTAGAGTGATAGAGCAAACATTATATTTGAAAAAACTGGAAAACCGCAAAAAATATATTTAAAAAATTAAATGTACTATGTACTCCAATATATTTTATTTACTTAATAAATTATTTGTGTGAAGAAGCTTGAACTGTTCACCATATATGTACAAATCTCGTATACCTTTTCGTGATAACACCTTTTTCTGAAACAACAATTTCTTAATAGAAATTTATTTACAACTTTTGAACAATACCTGTACAGTAATCTTATTCCTAATTTCCATTGAGTCCGTTAAAAAGCCACAAAGTGGGTTCCTGTTAGTGCACGCACGGTTTTCACCCCGAAAAATCACTATGCTCGAACAAAGTCTGGTCGTATAATGACGCTTGAACCATCCGCCCGCCAAAGTATCGTCCCGTAAGCGAGTCCCTGGCTTTCTCAGCCTCTGAAATATCCGGCAAAATTAGCCAACCATCCAACTGAGCACCCGTCACTTTAACTCACCCCATGTTTCGTAGAACTCGACGAAAATCTTCACAATAACGTCGTTTTCATCATCCTCGCTTTGCCTTTCGTTGTAGATAATCACTCGCTCTACCTGCCCATATTTACTGCACTCTTCCTGTATTTCGTCCTGTAAGCTTTCGTCTACATCTTCCGGGCCAACCATATTCCTCAGAATAACCACGCGAGAGTCGACCTTGCGCATCAATTTCTGCATCACAAAGTGCCTGGCGTTCTGGCCCTAAATAATTTTTTGATAAGTCTCGATTAATCATCAGCAGTTTAAATGGGACACCTTTATAGACATGTTCTCCTGCTGCTGTAGTGTCTGTGGCTCGTTCTGGTCCAGGAGCTTCTTCTGCAGCTCCTCTTGCTGCTTCAGCTGTGCTTCCGCGGCTCTTCGCATCGCCTCTTGTTGGTGCGCAACTGAGGAAGAATTAGAATTCTGGTACTGAGAACGCAGATGCCCAATTGGGTAATTACCTGTAGATCTATTGGAGATCTGGGCTTGGCTCAGATTCGTTGGAACTGGGCCGCTTAACACCTGCAAAACAAATGTATTAATAAATAAAACTCCCAACTTTATGTGTGTTTTACCGGTTGAACTAAGGCGGGCTGTATAATATTATTGGGTAACTTTTGCGGAATAGCGACGCCGGGCGGCGGGACAACGGCAGCGGGTAGTGCGAGTCCAGGCGGGGCGATTACAGGCGGCGCCGCTAAACTGGATGCCTGAGCAGGCGCAACAATCGGGATGGAAGCAGCTGGCTGAGTGAGCTTCGACAGACCTAAACAAGTCGAAAAACTCATCAAACATCCGAACCATCAGCAAAGCCAGGGCATCAAGGGTGTAGCGCAAACTTACAATTCTCCAACTCACCTAAGGCTGCCACATTGCTGGCCACCGCGTCCATGGCTTGTATTTTAGCGGTAGCTGCAGCCGCAGCCACCGCAGCAGCAGTGGGAAGCACGTTAGACCCAGTGGAAGGTCCGAGAAGAGCATTGGGGGGCGTTATCGCGCGTCCCACCCTGGAAATCATTTAATTATAGCTATAAAGACATGAATATTAGTTAGAAATAGTTACCTCAAATATTGGCCGCCTAAATCAAACAGATTCATGCTGGCGATCGCTTCATTCGCAGCCTGGGCCGTTTCGTACTCAATGAAACCGTAGCCTTTGTGCTTGTTTCCGGTAGGGCCTTGCGCCAACTTACAGTATACAATTGGCCCGAAAGCTTCAAAGACGCTGGAAAATTAAATAAAAACCGTCAATCTCCCTCATCTAAAAGAACTGCAAGACAATCCACCTTTTGATGTCCTCCTCGTTCAGGTCCTGATGAATAGAAGCAACGTAGATGCGATTGTACTGTTTCGCTTCTTCTTGAATTTCATCAATTACTGCTTGGGCCTGAGGCATGTTACTTGGCCGGCCCACGACCTGGAACATGAAGAAATTGGATATTAGCCGACCATACTCACGTCCACCGTGTTGTGACATTCTAAGAAAGATTAGAACAGAAATCGTCCAATGAAAAAAATCCGTTTGCTTTAGAATCGTTCGCTTTGTGACGTGAATATGGTAAAGAATCAGCGGAAGCGTTGCCTAAGACTGGCCGCGAATCGAGCGGTTTGTCGACCTGAACTTTGCCACTGGAAAAGGGGGCCCTAATTTGGCTTAAACCTACCCTAAAGAATATACAGGGTTGCTCATCAGTGCGTCAAAGTGCGATATCTCAGTAAATATGAACTTTACAAGAAAATACGTCCTACGAAAGTTTTTCATGTTTAAAAGGTCCACATTTTAAAATTACTTTCCAATATACGGGGTGTATCATAAACGTGTGGTAGTTACCAACTTTGGTTTTTTAAATGGAACCGCCCCTTTTTTCATTCATTTTCAGATTTGTCGTCAAAATTTAAGTTAAGTTTGTGTCAAACGTTTCACCTGAAAAATTTACGATTTCCGAGTTATTCGTAAAAATGTGAAAGTTTTGACAGCTACTGGGTTCCACAGAAATCGATGCTGTACACTACCCGCTGCGAATTTTGGAAAACAGTTTTCAGCGATTCTAACAGAACATCATGATCTACGCGTAGATATGTTT